GTTAGGGTCGGCCTATAGGGTTAGCATTAGCGGTTAGTGTCAGCCTATAGGGTTAGCATTAGCGGTAAGGGTCAGCTTATAGGGTCAGGGTTGGGAGTTAGCCTTTAGGGTTAGAGTTAGGGTCAGCTTTTGGGGTCAGCCTTAAGGTTAGCATTAGCGGTTAAGGTCAGCATGTAGGGTTAGGGGTAGATTTAGGGTAGGCCTTTAGGGTTAGGGTTAGCCTTAAGGGTTAGCATTAACGGTTAGGGTTAGAGTTATGGTCTGCCTTTAGGGTTAGCATTAACTGTTAGGGTTAGAGTTGGGGTTAGAGTTAGGGTCAGCCTTTAGGGTTAGCATTAGCGGTTAGGGTCAGCCTATAGGGTTAGCATTAGCGATTAGGGTCAGCTTTTAGGATTAGGATTAGCATTAGCGGTAAGGGTTAGAGTTAGGGTCAGCCTTTAGGGTTAGCCTTTAGGGTTAGCATTAGCGGTTAAGGTCAGCATATAGGGTTAGGGGTAGAGTTAGGGTAGGCCTTTAGGGTTAGGGTTAGCCTTAAGGGTTAGCATTAACGGTTAGGGTTAGAGTTAAGGTCAGCCTATAGGGTTCGGGTCGGCCTTTAGGGTTAGGGTCAGTATATAGGGTTTGGGTTAGAGTTAGGGTCAGCTTTCAGAGTTAGGGTTAGCCTACAGGGTTAGCATTAGCGGTTAGGGTCAGCCTATAGGGTTAGGGTAGACCTTTAGGATTAGCATTAGAGGTTAGGGTTCGAGTTAGGGTCAGAATATAGGCTTAGGGTTAGAGTTAGGGTAGGCCTTTAGGGTTAGGGTTAGCCTACAGGATTAGCATTAGCGGTTAAGGTCAGCCTATGAGGTTAGGGTTAGAGTTAGTTGGTCATTTCCGACCCAGAATGAGTCTGAAGGACCAGGATGTAGGATCCAGGCTGTGTTTCTGTGTGTTTGGGGGAAAGCTGACTGGGAAACGAAGCCAAAGCAGTTTGCTGCCTCATTAAACTCATGTAAAGCGTCATTATTACCCACGCTGTTCAGCCAGGGCTCTCATTTACATGGACCAGGAGGAGGAGGAGGAGGAGGAGGCCCTTCCTCAGCCAGAAAAGCTCAAGCCTCCATTAATGTGTGTGTGTGGGGGGGGGGGCAGGTCCATGTATTCCCATCCAGGCTTCAGGTGGCACAATCAGACTGAAGAATTCAGCATCTGAATCCTTCCAATCGTGCAAATAATCGAACAGATTCATGAAATAATGAGGATTTTCTGTCTCTGAGCTGCAAAACGCCAGATTTCTCCCTTTTTTTAACCACTCTGAGCCTTTTGGAGCCAGATTCTGTCAGGAAAACGTGGTTTCTGGCACGGCTCAGAGCGGCCAGAGGACGGGAGTGTGTCATGTTACGGAAATATCCCCAAGAGAGCTTCTCTAAAAATAACATCCCAGCATCAGAAAACCTGCTGAACTTCATTTT